TTTTCCCCCCAAAGCCCCAGTAGATAGTTGTGTGTCATAGCTGCACATCCTTCTAGTTGCTGTATGTGGGACGCGGCCTCAGCATGGCCGGAGAAGCAGCACGTCGGTGCGAGCCCGGGATCCGAACCCGGGTCGCCAGCAGTGGAGCGCGCTCACTTAACCACCAAGCCACGGGGCCGGCCTAGACTGATCTTTCTAATAATCCAAGACATAAAAACTATCTTTAGTAATTATAATACCAAACAGACAAAAACCCCACACACGCATGTCCATACAGCTTAGAAAATAAAGCATGCCAAAAAAAAGCAGTGAGGTGTGGATGCCCTTCTGTAGCAGTTATTTATTGGCGCCAGTGGAAATGCAGTGAAATTTAACTACATACAAAAGGTAAATTACCTTGAGTTACTAAATATCTGAATTCCATTAGGAATAATAAAATAAAATACACTAAAATCTTCCAGATTGACTTGAAATTCACAGAAAGATCCGTCAAGAATTTAAAAGCATGCAGCTTGATTACTTTTAATTACATGCAGGGAGTAGCACCTGGGTGAGGGCCAGTGGAGAGGGGCCCGTCTGGCTGTAAAGGGTGTGAACTTTTGTGAATCACTAGAGAGCTGCGTTCCACGTGCTCTGTTTTGCCACTGGATTACTGCTACCTCTTCGCTTATCTTTTCTCTATAAAATTAGGATGATTATAATCGGCCCTGTGTTCCTCATATGGTTGATGGGAAAATAAACCAAAGAAGTAAGTTGGGAAAGGTAAAAAAAAAAAAGTGCATTATTTTACAATTGTTTCTACTTGCATTTTTCTTAAAAGAATATCCTCTTTTTTGCCAGTTGAGCCAGTTGTGATAAGATCAGTGAAATTATAGTTCCTGGTTTAGTTGTTACAAGGTTGATAAGTGAATTCAAATTCAGTTTCCCACGGCAAATGAATTAAGCAAGTACGTAGTCTCATAGTTAGGGGTTGTAGAACCATAAACCATTAGCAATCAGGATGCTACAGGAGAACTTCTGGCAAGCCAAAATCCA